TTTTTAAAGCAAAATTGAAATTCGTGAATTTTTCAAATTTGAGTTTTTTTTACAATATTTCTGTTTCTTTGAGCTTGGTGTGTATATATCTTATGACCTAATTTATGTAGAACATTGAAACTTGGAACACAACAAGACAATTTGAATATAAATTAACCTATGACAAAAAAGTTGAGGTGGGCGTGGCACATCCAGGTTGAATTACTAATTGTTTACATTTTGGGAAAGGGGCATAACTCACATAGGATGCATTTGTTCAAAAAGGAACTTTGCACACAATTACCCCATTATTTTGGCCAGTTTGTGTTAATAGGTTAATTGTTTCAGCTTTATAGTTCCAAAAAAGGAACGGGTTTTTAAATTTCCATATTTTCAATTTTCTATTTTGACCTTTATTGACTCTTGTTGACCTATATCTTTTGACCTGTATGATGTAGAAGCTTTAAATTTGGAACACAAAAATAACATTCAGAATATCAATTAACCTATGCAAAAGAAATTGAGGTGGGCGTAGCACATCCGGGTTAAATTACTCATTATTGACAATTTTGGCAAGGGACATAACTCGCAACGTATACATTTGTTCAAAATGGAACTTTGCATACAATTACTTCATCATCCGTTGAGCCACGTTGTCTTAGAAGTTCGATTGTTTCAGCTTTAAAGTTCAAAAAAAAGGAACAGGTTTTGAAAATTCAAAATTTTCAAATTTTGACCTTGACCTTTTTTGACCCTGATTTTTGTAGGATCAAAGGTCATTCACATTGGCTATCTATTTATACTTTTATATTTGCTGTCCTATCTCAACTTCCAGTTTATAGCTGTATATATTTAAAAATTTTGATAACTTGTATCTCGTAACCTTGACCTTGTTGACCGTCTCCCTTTCAATGTCAAATGTCATTGACCTTGGCTATCTTCTGATACTTTCATTTGTGAGGTCTGTCTACTTTCGTTATAACAATCTTCCAAAGAATTCTTCTCAACTTTAGACTACTCTTGCGCGTGATGTAATTATCTTTTGCATTTTGCTACATTTGCAAAGTCCCACTCTGTGCCACGTGTGGCTCTAGTTTTATTTATTATAACACCTTTAATAGTTTTATCATATCTGATCATGATTCTAAAGACTTCTGCACACAATATGAATAGATATGGTGATATCGGGTCACCCTGTCTACATCCTCGTGAAATCGTAAAAAAAAAGAGAAAAAATTATTCTGAATGACGCATAACTGAATGTCATTGATAATTAGGTTTATCCAAGTTTGGAAAATATTTCCAAAATCAAAAGTCTAAAGTTTTTTTCATAAAGGACCATGAAATTGAATCGAATGCTTTTTTGAAATCAATTAGTACCAAAGCTGATGGCCGATTCTCTGTTATACAGTATCGCATCACATCATAGAGGAATCTGGTAGTCTCTTCTATACCTTTCAGCAATAAATTTTGAGATTCATTAATTAGGTGAATCAAGTATGGTTTGATTTTATTGGCCAAAACACTAGAGAGTAGTTTGTATGTTGTATACAGAAGTGATACAGGTCGTCAATTTTCAATAAAATCTTGAGTTTTGAAGTTTTTGGTAAAATCGTGATGATACCCTGTCGTTGGGTGATAGGTAGAATTCCCTTTGCCAATGAATGTTTAAATGATCTCAAAATATATTCCAAAAAATTTGAAAAAGTTTGCTGGGAAGCCATCAGTGCCAGGGCTACGGTCATTTTTCAAGGCCTTCAGTAATTCTTCTCGAGTAATATCACCTTCCATCAATTCTGTTTGAGTTTTTTTTAGGTTTTGGTATGTCATAGTTCTGAAATAACAGTTCAAGGTCAACATTTTCCAATTTACTATCTTGACATGTGTAGAGGTTCTCATAAAAGCCTTTAATAGATTCTTATATTTGATTTTGATCAGTTATAATTCTATTACCTATATTGAGCTTTGTTACCGTTGTGTGAACATAATTTCTCTTTTCATAGTTACAAAAATACTTACTAGGGTTTTCACCATCTTCTATCCATATAATGTGTGATCTAATGATTGGATCTTAAAGTTTCTAGTTCAAGATTAATTGCATTTAAGGATTAATTCGATTATAACTGTAGTCTCTATAGTGTTCACAAGATATATTGACTGACAGACTGACTGACAGATCAACAGACTGACAGGCGACAGCAATATACACCCACATTTCCATGTGGGCGTATAAAAATGAGCAATACTCAAAGTATTTTCAATCTTTGGGTAAATAGGCCTTCTAATATGTCACATGTCATGATATTTATCTTAAGGTCTTACCCTTTTTATACAATTGTTGTACTTCATCATATTCTTCGGGATCATGTAACATAGCAAATGATGAGCCCAGAATATCTTGTGGTAAATATCCCAAGAGATTGACAGTGCTGAAAATATATTTCATATCATTATCATACAATTTATTCTAGAAATGGAAATTCTATCAAATATAAAGGAATGGGTCACCAGAACATATTAAAATTATTTCTGTGTAGTTCACAAAGTTGTATCATGATTTCGTTCTCTATCAACAAAGATAGCTTGCCAGGCAAGGTAATAAACGCCCACTGGCAGCTTTGATTTTGACTAAAAATATTTAGCAGTACAGTAACAATCACCAGTATGAAATATTCAACCTTCAGTCATACACTTCTCTTGAAGTCTTGTTCTTGAAAACGTGTTCAATTTTAGCTCGTGAAAACTCTAGAAGACAAATATTCAATCTTCAGCGCGGTAATGAATAATAAAACCAAGTTTTGTCAAAGTCCGACAAAAATCATGCCTTTTATTGTTTAAGAGCTAAAACTTGAAACTGTTTTCAAGAACGAGGTCAATAACTCCTATGAAACATATTTCAATTTTTTTGATTTTCGATAGGGTTCATCCATGGATGATAATAAACAATTTCACCAAGTTTCGTCAAAATCTGTCAAGAATTTAGCCTTCTAGAATGTTAAAGAGGTAAAAATTGAATAAGTTCTCAAGAACATGGGCAATAACTGATGCTAAATATTTTTCCATTTTTCTGATTTTGAAAGGGTTCATCCTTGGGTGATACCGAACACTCACACCAAGTTTCGTCAAATTTCATCAAGAATTGTGGCTTGTGGTTCACAAGCTAAAAATGCGTTCTCAAGAACAGGGTCAGTAACTCCTTCTTAATAGTTTTTGATTTTTCTGATTTTCGATAGGGTTCACACTTGGGTGATAATGAACACTCACACCAAGTTTCGTCAAAATTCGTCAAGAATTGTGCCTTCTAGAGTGTTTGCAAGCTAAAAATTGCCCCCCATTTCATGTGGACATATAAAAATAATATAAATAATGTTGTACAGAAATCTTCTCTTTTATGTATTACATGTGCCAGCATGAAGTCTATATAGGAAGATACTCACTTTTTACTAACATAGGTGATTTTCCCTTGATTGGAATGTTGAATAGAAAATGTACGATCAATGGTTCTTCCCTCTATTGAAAAGAAAAAAGAAAATTGAAAAACCTATTCTTGCCCCAAAAAATCTAGCTTCCATGGAGTTCAAGAACAAATTAACTAAAGCCCTGTCAACACGATCATAGATTTGTTCAAAATATTGTCGATTGACCTGTTTGTAAACAAATGTATGATCATCTAGATGTATAGTTCGAGTATGCTTGTTGAATTTACACTTCAAAATAATCTGTTCTCTCCACAAGTGGTCACAGTCATACATCTTCAGACAAATGTTAGATGATGTTTGACAATGTTTGACAGTGTAGAGAAAAATTCCCATCAATCTTGGACATGGTCATACAAAAGCGTCTTCTATGTCAGCCCCTCTGGCCTGCAAAAATCTGAGCTATCCTACTTCTCTTCAGGTGTATTTGATGCTTCTCAAAACAAATATCTTACAACATTTTTTTAGTTGTAGTGCTATGCATAAACATGAATTCAATTGTATGAAACATTTTCAATTTGTAATAAATAAATTACCTTCTGTATAAGCTGAAATGCATGGTTGTAGTTCCATTGAAAAACACTTCTCAATACCTTCAGCAAATGTCCAACAAGGACTTAATTTACCTTTCCTTTTTTTCATAATAACTTTGGCTTTCAATGGCATGTAATCAGGTCCTTTAAAATCATAACCACTTGATAATGACTGGTAATACCTTTAAAATAGAGTCAAAATACATACTACAGCTTTATGATATAACATTTCCTGATAAAAAGGTATAGACAAAGCTTGTATATACAATGATAATTCATCAAGATAGCTTGCCAGGCAATGTAATATATGCCCACTGACAACTTCGATTTTGAACATAAATATTTAGCAGTACAGTAACAATCACCAGTATGAAATATTTAACCTTCAGTCATACACTTCTTTTGAATTCTTTGGGGCAATACTGAATAATACTGAGTATGAGTTATTGCCCTTGTTCTTGAAAACGTGTTCAATTTTTAGCTTGTGAAAACTCTTAAAGGCAAATATTCAATCTTCAGCGCGGGACTGAATAATAAAACCAAGTTTTGTCAAAATCCAGCAAAAATCGTGCCTTTTAGTGTTTTCAAGAACAAGGGCAATAACTCATACTAAATATTTTTCAATTCTTCTGATTTTCAATAGAGTTTATCCTTGGGTTATTACGAACATTCACACCAAGTTTCATCAAAATATGTCAAGAATTGTGCCTTTTAGAATGATTATTACGAGCTAAAAATTGAACGCGTTTTCAAAAGCAAGGGCAATAACTCTAACTAAATATTTTTCGATTTTTCTGATTTTCAATAGGGTTTATCCTTGGTTGATAACAAACACTCATGCCAAGTTCCGTCAAAATCCATTAAGAATTGTGCCTTCTAAAGTGTTTACAAGCTAAAAGTTGAACGCGTTTTCAAGAACAAGGGCAATAACTCTAAGTAAATATTTTTCGATTCTTCTGATTTTCAATAGAGTTCATCCTTGGGTGATTACGAACACACATACCAAGTTTCGTCAGAATCCATCAAGAATTGAGCCTTCTAGAGTGTTTACGAGCAATTGTGGACGGACGGACGGACATGGGTGACGGAAATATACACACCCCATTTCATGTGGGCATGGGCGTATTAAAAAGTACTGTTCATATAACTTAGAATTCAATGGGTGATATTTATTAGAATCCAATGGGTGATATTTATCAGAATCAAATGGTTGATATTTATAAGAATTAAATGGGTGATATTCATCAGAATCAAATGGATGATATTTATAAGAATTAAATGGGTGATATTTATCAGAATTAAATGGGTGATATTTATAAGAATTAAATGGGTGATATTTATAAGAATTAAATGGATGATATTTATTAGAATCAAATGGATGATATTTATTAGAATTAAATGGATGATATTTATTAGAATCAAATGGATGATATTTATTAGAATCAAATGGATGATATTTATAAGAATCAAATGGGTGATATTTATAAGAATCAAATGGGTGATATTCATCAGAATCAAATGGATGATATTTATAAGAATTAAATGGGTGATATTTATAAGAATTAAATGGGTGATATTTATAAGAATTAAATGGGTGATATTTATTAGAATCAAATGGATGATATTTATAAGAATTAAATGGGTAATATTTATCAGAATCAAATGGATGATATTTATAAGAATCAAATGGGTGATATTTATAAGAATTAAATGGGTGATATTTATAAGAATTAAATGGGTGATATTTATAAGAATTAAATGGATGATATTTATTAGAATCAAATGGGTGATATTTATAAGAATCAAATGGATGATATTTATAAGAATTAAAAGGGTGATATTTATAAGAATTAAATGGATGATATTTATAAGAATTAAATGGGTGATATTTATTAGAATTAAATGGATGATATTTATAAGAATTAAATGGGTGATATTCAATAGAATCAAATGGATGATATTTATAAGAATTAAATGAGTGATATTTATAAGAATTAAATGAGTGATATTTATAAGAATCAAATGGGTGATATTTATCAGAATCAAATGGATGATATTTATAAGAATTAAATGAGTGATTTTTATAAGAATTAAATGGATGATATCTATTAGAATCAAATGGATGATATCAAATGGGTGATATTTATAAGAATTAAATGAGTGATATTTATAAGAATTAAATGGGTGATATTTATAAGAATGAAATGGATGATATTTATAAGAATTAAATGAGTGATATTTATAAGAATGAAATGGGTGATATTTATAAGAATTAAATGGGTGATATCTATAAGAATCAAATGGATGATATCAAATGGGTGATATTTATAAGAATTAAATGAGTGATATTTATAAGAATTAAATGAGTAATATTTATAAGAATTAAATGGGTGATATCTATAAGAATCAAATGGATGATATCAAATGGGTGATATTTATAAGAATTAAATGAGTGATATTTATAAGAATTAAATGGGTGATATTTATAAGAATGAAATGGGTGATATTTATAAGAATTAAATGGATGATATTTATAAGAATTAAATGGATGATATTCATCAGAATCAAATGGATGATATTTATAAGAATTAAATGGGTGATATTTATAAGAATTAAATGGGTGATATCTATAAGAATCAAATGGATGATATCAAATGGGTGATATTTATAAGA